AACTATTTATGAAAATAAAAGGATGAACATTAAAAAACAAGTAACACAAGGTGGAAGATCCATGTGAAAGGCGACATATTGACCCAAATTACTAGACATTTGCACAAAATCTTAGTTTTGATAACATAATCAATGACTCCTAGAAGAGGGAGTGTAGGATGAAGTAGGTAAAACATGGGAGGGAGTTGACAAATGTAGCCTGTATGATACGTTGTGGTGGATTCATGATACTGCACATTTGCAAACCAACATAACTTTGTTTTCTAGTATTTTAAGACACTTGTCTTGTTTATGTGATCCCTTTGGTTCTTAGTCCTATCATTATGATCAATTGTGAACAGAAATTGATCACTGGGACTAGTGAGATGGCATTGGTACATGCCACCTCGATGGGATTGAATTTGAATCCCCTGGTATGTTTCTAACTCTACCGTTTGAGGTAAGTCAGCTTGAGCATGTCCCGAATTGCACATCTCTTCCCTCTCTTATTCCCACTCTTATATTTAACAGCGATCACTTTTCAGTTAAGTTTCAGCACTTAAGAAGAATTGTGTATTGATTACAGTATTCAACCAAAAGTATTAAGTAGAACAAAAAAAAAATACTAAGAGGGATAACATATTAAGCTGCTCATCAACAGTCAGGGTGAGGGCTGATCAAGTCACCGTTTCTCCTAGTGTTCATTTCACTTTAACAGGTTTCCTTTTTGGTGCTCAGTTAGTTGTCACCTATCAAGGAGAACAAGTGGTATTTGTCCCTTTGGGATTGGCTTATTTCACTCAGCATAATGTTTTAAATTCCTAACAGGGATCACTTTTCAGTTAAAATTTAAACACCTAAGAATAATTGTGTGTTAATTACAGAGTTCAACCAATGGTACTAGAACAAAAAAGAAAATACTAAAATGGATAAAGTATTACATTGTACATCAACAGTCAGGGCAAGAGCTAATCAAGTCACTGTTTCTCATAGTGTCCATTTCACTTCAACAAGTTTCCCCTTTGGTGCTCAGTTAGTTGTCACTGATCAGGGAGAACATATGATATTTGTCCCTTTGGGACTGGCTTAATTCACTCAGCATGATATTTTCCAAATTCCTCCATCTTGTTGCAAATGACTGGGTTTCATTGTTTTTGACTGCTGTATAGTATTCTATAGAGTACATGTCCCATAATTTCTTTATCCAGTCTACTGTTGATGGGCATTTGGGTTGGTTCCAGGTCTTAGCTATTGTGAATTGAGCTGTAAAAAACATTAATGTGCAGACTGCTTTGTAACACAAATATTTAACCTTAACCTTTGTAAACTCAAAATTTATTTTGGAAACTGAGATATACAAAGATAGAGTTTAATGCATAGAGTGAATGTATAGGTAAAAACAGGGTATATGAATACATAGGTAAATAAACTTCTAAATATTGCCAATTTATGGTAGTAGAGAGAAGGGATAAATACACCATGCCCATTTGGCTATATTTCAAATCCTATGGACTGTAGTAAATATTCTCTTTATTCTCTTCAATCCCCTCTATCCATCATTAACAGCCTTGAGATATTCTGAACACTTTACTATATACTACAAAAAATACTGTTATCTCTTTTAAAATTCAATAATATCCAGATGTCAATATTATTAAAATAGAATTTAGAAAATAAATTATGGCACACTAAATTAATGAGAAATATAACTAGTGTTTGAGTATAATCATCCCCACACATACCTTAGCCTACTGACAGAAGCATGCACTTCCTTGGTTCCTTAGCAACTGCCTCCTGATTTGGCACAGGATTTATCCTGCTCTTCTGTAATTGACAGTTGACATCCTCAGTGCATGGTTTAGATTTCCATCCCTGTGGGAGTATGGATTCTTTCATTCATCAATCAAACTCTGAACCTTGTAAAATGTTTGGCACAAAACAGCAACTCGATAGACACACACTTAATTTAATCACCATTCACTTTCTATTCAAGTCTATTGTATACCTTTCCAAGATTATACATGGCTATGCTTACATTCTCTAGCATCATTTGCTGAATTACTATTTTACTATCTTTTTCATAACTTTTTTCTCATGGAAATACAATATTTCCCTTTCACAGCCTTAAGTCATTCAGTTGCCCACTCTCTCTGACAGCTGCAGTCATTTCTCTCCTCTGCTGCAAGGTGCCCTAACCTTCCCCTGACTGCAGAGCACACATCAGTGGTGTTGCCACTTTGATTAATATTATTTCAATGCTCTATATGAGCCGGCATTCTAGTATGGTAGGTAAAGCCACCAACTGCGATACTAGCACCCCTGTGGGCACCAGTTCATGTCCTAGCAGCTCCACATCCAATCCAGCTCACTGTTAATGGCCCCTGTCACCCAAGAGGGATAGCTGGATTCAGCTCCTGGCTCCTGGAATCAGCCTGGCCCTGTGCTGGCTATTGTTGTTGGAAGATCTCTCTCTGTCCCTCCCTCTCTCTGTGTACTTGTGACCTATAAATAAATAAATCCTCAAAAAATTTTCTATATGAGTTCTCACAAAATTAGCCTACATTTTTGACCCAAATACATACTCCCCAACGTATAGATTTTGCTAACTGAAAATCACACAATAAACATGTCTCCTTGTTCACTTTTATCTGGCCTGGAAATCACAATTTGATACTCATATTATTTTTGAATTTTCATATCACTTTCTACTAAGGTACTTAAAAAATGTTTTCCAATAGAAACAACTACTATCATTATATGTCAGTTGCTTTTCCTTTATTTTTTCAGAGGTGCGTGTCTCATTCTCATAAGCATACTAGAATTTTAGGTAAAAGTTGAACATTCATTTTCATTTTTTTTTTTACTAACTAGAAAAATTGACTGAGTACAACTCAATGGAGTTTTCGTTCTTAGTGGATTTTAGAAGAGAATATTATTTGGGTATGTTCATGAAAATTACTTGTATACTTAAGTGTTTTTGGTGCCTCTATTGGACTGTTTTTAGAAATAATAATGCAAGTGTTTTTGATTTGTTTGTTTATTTAGAGTAATAACTTGATTACCACATTATGTAGTATTTTAATCTGCTGGTTACTAATTTTCTATTACAGATGGTATTTTTCTTTTTTAAAAGAAGTATTTATTTATTTGAGAGACCAAATTACAGCGAGAGAGAAAGAGAGAAAGAGAGAAAGAGAGAAAGAGAGAAAGAGAGAGAGAGAGAGAGAGAGAGAGAGGTGTTTTTCATCCACTGGTTAACTCCCTGAATGTCCACAACAGCCAAAGCTGGGCAGATCAGAGCCAGAGCCAGGAGCAGGAGCGCTCTCCTGTCTCACACATGGGTGCAGGGGCCCAATGACTTGGGCCATCTTCTGCTACTTTCCCAGGCACATTAGTAGGGAGCTGGATCAAAAGTGGAGCAGCTGGGATATAAATGAGTGCCCATACGGAATGACAGCATCACAGGCGGCAGCTAAAACTGCTATGTCACAATGCCAGTACCCATATGTGATGCTGGCACTGCAGATGGCTGTCTTACCCGCTAGGCCACAGTGCTGTCCCCGACAGTGAGATTTTGATAGACCACTGCTCCAAAAATTAATAACTAGGTGAGATTACACACACACACACACACACACACATACACATATACATTTGTGTGCACCAGGCAAAAAGAAACCATGGGATAAAAATTTCAGTAAGGGTGAATTTAATATGTGAGCTGGCGTGACATTGTGTCTTTCAGTTTCACTGCTACTGAGTTCTCAGTAACTCATTTTAACTTCTTTGCTTTGTATCAATTTGTTTAAATGTGTCACCATGTGCATTACTTGCCCCATCTCTGTGCACTCTCAATGTCTGGAAAATGGTTTAAACTTCAGCGGAGAGAGAGATAAAAGTGATCTCTTTGCATGGGGAAGGCTGAATTTTTACAGAGTCCTCTTTTTGCCTTACATTCAGCCAAAATATAACCACAACCACCACCCAGCTATCATGGGACAATGATGTGAAAACAAACCAATTTCTATTATTTTGAGAACCCTCTAATTGGGTATCTTTGTTATAGCTAAATACCCTTTCATCTGGGTTATATATTAAATATTTGTCAAATGTTGAATGGAGTAGTTCCGTAAGGAAACCTACAGTGTGTGCTGGTGGGTCACCATTTGAACATTGTACAGTAAGGAAATCATAATTGCATTCTGAAAAAATCATGGCACTTGCTATGCCATTGAAAAAACTGTTACAATTAATTCCTTAGAAAACTACTGAAAGTAATCAGAATGCCAGCTTACAAGTCTTAATGGTGGAAGCAGATATCTTGTTAAAAAGTTCAATGAAGCTGCATAGATCAAAATAAGAGTTTTCAGATTACTAATCTGATTATTAATCGAATTACTATTGAATAAAGCAAATTTAAGACAGTCATAGACCACACCAAACATGAGGGCTCTCTGAAAGGTCATAGACAATATGTATTATGAAAAAGCTACACATATATTTCAAAAATTTTTACACAAAAGTAAACTTTTTATGATTTATTTATTTATTTGAAAGTCAGAGTAACAGAAACAGAGGGGAAGCAAGGGAGAGAGAAAAATCTTACATTGATGGTTCACTCCCCAAATGGCTACAATGACTGGGGCTGGGCCAGGCTTTCCCAGGCATATTAGCAGGGAGCTGGATAGGAAGTAGAGCAGCTGGGAAAAGAACTGGTACCCACAGGGGATGCTGGCACTGCAGGCATCAGCTTTAAATGCTGCGCTACAGTACTGGCCCTGCAAACTAGACATCTTTTGCTTCCATTTCCCATCCTATTGAAGAATATGTAATAGATTTAAGAGCTGTGGCCAGAAAAGGTTTTAATATGTGGTAACTTTCAGAGTATCTAGAAATTACTGTTGGTATTAAGTAATAACAGATTTATCATAGTCAGCCAGCTGGATAACTCATCGGATATTGTTACTTTCAGGTAGCCATGGTTATGTAACTAAGTATTGGATATTGTTACTTTCAGGTAGCCATGGTTAGGTAACTCGGTTTGTAACACTGCAATCTGAGTGGAAATAGTAATTGTCTTTGCCTGATCCTGGCCTTCAAACATCGGTCTTGTGGTCTTCTCCCCTTCTTCCTCCTGCTTCACAGACAAGGTATAGAACCAGGTTTGTTCCTGCAGAGCACAGTAGTTTTGGACGTGGTGGTAGAGACACCAAATGAAATTAAAATGTTTCACTTAATGGTCTCAAAAATGAAGTTCTTTTGACCATTGTGCATTTCCTGGATACCATGTGACAGATATGTGTTTCTATTTTGTCAAAACCTCAGTATAGTTTGTCTTTGAATAGAGGAATTTAAATGAAGTAATACAGAATTATCACTTGAATTTGAAATGTTTGTATTTATACCCACTAGAAGTACTAGAGTGTTAATGCTTCACTCAATTTTTCCAATATGTGTGTCTTTCAGAAATTTATCAGCTGCATAGTCCAGAAGAGCACATTTGCTTCCTGGCAGAGTATAGTTTTTTAGGGGGAAGGTTTTGTACATGTTTTACTCTAATAATTCAGTTGGCGAAAGTGATTGTTTTCCAACAAGAATGATATATGTGTGTACATATGTATGAATGTGCATATATGTATGTGTGAATATGTGTGTCTGCACATGTGCAAGTATGTGTGTGTATGCATGTGTATTGTATCTAAGCATACACATATGTGGACAGGTGCATGCGTGTCCTGGTATGGACGTTCATATCATTTATGTGCATGCATGTGTCTGTGTATAGGTCTATGTTTTTAAATCTTTGTAATTTCCTTTGTTAAGGACTAGAAATTATTAAAAGGATGCAGTCTTGTCATTTGCAACAACATAGATGGAACTGGAGGTCATTATGTTCAGTGAAATAAGCCAAGAACAGAAAACAAGCATCACATGATTTTGCTCATGTATGGAGTTTAAAAAAGTTTTTGTTCATAGAAGCAAATAATATAATGGCACTTGTAGTGGGCATTGTGGTTCTGCAGGTTAAGCATCCTCTCAGGACACCTGCATGCCACATGGCAAGGCTCCTGTGAGTCCCACGTCCTTTGCTTCTGATCTAGCTTCACACTAATATATGCTGAGAGGCAGCAGGTGATGGCCCAAGTGCTTAGTCCTCTGTTAGACAGCTGGTACACCTGGATGGAGTTCCAGGCTCCTGGCTTCAGTGTGGTCCTGCCCTGGCTGTTGCTGGCATTTGAAATGAACCAGCAGATGGATGATCTCACTGTTTCTCTGCCTGTTGAAAAGGCAAAAATAAACGAACCCTAAAATGCATACACATACACACACATGTATATGTACATAGAAATGCATGGATATAATGGTGGTTACCAGAGGCTGAGCAGGAAAGGGGGAGGGAGTGATGGGGAAATGTTGATTAACAGGTTCTAGGCTATAGCTGTATAGAAGCAAAACACTCTGAATTTCTATTACACAGTACAATAAATATAAAAAATGTTAATATACTGCATATTTCTCTATCTTAAAAAACAAGTAAAGTTGAAGATATGATTTTGGATGTTGGCATCAAAAAGAAATTTTAAATATGGAGTGGACCAGTGAATAGAAGATCTTGCTCTGTCTTGTTCCCTCCCTCCCTTCCTCTCTTCCTCCCTCTCTATCATTCTGCCTTTAAAATATATAAATAAAAAACCTCTTAAGAAAATTAGTGTCTGGGGTAGGTGCCTGTTGCAGTAGTTAAGACATTGCTTTGAGGCCATATCCCATGGAGGAGTGCTGGCTTCAAGTCCTGGCTCTGAGCAGATTCTAGCTTCCTGCTAATTGTGCATCCTGGAAGACAGTAGGGATCTCTCAAGTAGTTGGATTCCCACCATCCAAATGGGTATCCACCCTGGTTGTTGTGAGCGTTTGGATTGTAAATCAGGGGATGGGAGATTTCTGTCTGTCTGTCTAATTGCTATTCCCTGACTCTACATCTCTCTCAAATAAATACAGTTTATGAATAAATAAAACCAAAAATCAAATTTATCTTAAAATTTCAAGGGCATAGTTCAGTGGTTTAACTGGGTTTCCATTGTTGTGTAACAGACCTCTAGAAAACTTTTTTCCTGCCAGTTCCAAACATAACATAATATAAATAAGCTGAAATGGAAGTGTGGTTGTAAATGTGTACTTATGTGCACAAACATTAAATGCACAGTGCAAACCATAGAGTAACTTTGACTATGTCTTTGAATAAGAAAACCTAAACTAAGTACCAGGGTATAGCAGGTTTGAACATGATATAAAGCTCAAAAGTGCAGTTTACAATTAAAAAATATTTTATACACTGCAAAATTAATGGATTACGTCACATTGATAGGTACTAAACTCATTAACATTAAAATTTTCTAACTATAACAGAGTATGGAAAATATAAAAAGCCCCCTAAAAATTTTGGTATTTACATAAACACACCAAGGAGTTCTTTTCCTTCACAAAGTTTATTCCAATATCAACAAACATGTGCTTTTGGGAAATATATTTAAATATACTTAAATGCAAGCCATATTTTCTAAAACTTTTAAACAAAACATAATTGGCGGCCAGCGCCGCGGCTCACTAGGCTAATCCTCCGCCTTGCGGCACCGGCACACCAGGTTCTAGTCCTGGTCGGGGCGCCGGATTCTGTCCCGGCTGCCCCTCTTCCAGACCAGCTCTCTGCTGTGGTCAGGGAGTGCAGTGGAGGATGGCCCAGGTGCTTGGGCCCTGCACCCCATGGGAGACCAGGAAAAGCACCTGGCTCCTGGCTCCTGCCATCGGATCAGCGCGGTGCGCCGGCGGCAGCGCGCCTGCCGCGGCGGCCATTGGAGGGTGAACCAACGGCAAAGGAAGACCTTTCTCTCTGTCTCTCTTTCTCACTGTCCACTCTCCCTGTCAAAAAATAAAAAACTAAAAAAACATAATTGTCATTTAAAATTTTAGCTATTGCAAAAACTTGTAATGATTTCTTAACAGTATTTTCACATAAAACATAATATAAAAATTATGATTAACTGGAGTTCATATAGGAGATAAGAATCTTACAATGCAAAATGTAATAGGATAACGAAATATGCAAAGAGAAACATTGCAGGAAGTTAGTAGATTGTCAGAATTTTAAAACATGTACTTTAGAATATACACGTGAAAATTACTGGGTTATCAAATAGCATTTTAAGTGGCATATATTTAAAAGATACATGACATTACTAAGGGTGCAGGAGCCCAAGCACTTTGGGCATATTCCACAGCTTTCCCGGGCCAGAGCAGAGAGCTAGATTGGAAATGGAGCAGCCAGGACTTGAACTGGCGTCCATATGTGTGGGGAGCAAACCGGACTGGACTGAGTTACTGGAATTAAGACTTATTCTATGTATCTGCTCTCCCACAATATGGCGCTGGGAGAGAAGTAAACAGCTTCCGCACAGCTGCCTCCAGTTCAGCTAATAAACTGTAGGACTTGCTCCTGATTGGAGGAGAGCAGCGTACTCGGCGTGTGGGCAGCCGAGTTAGGATTGGCGGAGGAGGACTATAAAGGAGGAGAGAGACGGCATGCACAGGGAACATCTAAGGGGAACATCTAGCTGAAGGAACACCCGTGCAGCCCCCGAGAAGAGCCGGCCGGCGGTGTGCCGCTCCCCTGCGGAAGTGGGGAATGTGGCCAGGGGGAACTGCCCTTCCACGGAGGTGGAAGGGATAGTAGCCAACCCGGGAAGAACCAGCAGCAAACCCGGGGAGGGCCGAGCAGACGAAAGAACAGCGCAGGGTCCTGTGTTGCTCCTCCACGAAAACGGGGAGCGACAATATGGGATGCTGGCACTGCAGGCAGTGGCTGTACTCATTACACTACAGTGCCAGCCCCTATTTTTTTTTTTTTTTTGACAGGCAGAGTGGACAGTGAGAGAGAGAGACAAAGAGAAAGGTCTTCCTTTGCCGTTGGTTCACCCTCCAATGGCCGCCGCGGCCTGCGCACCGCGCTGATCCGAAGGCAGGAGCCAGGTACTTATCCTAGTCTCCCATGGGGTGGAGGGCCCAAGCACTTGGGCCATCCTCCACTGCACTCCCTGGCCACAGCAGAGAGCTGGCCTGGAAGAGGGGCAACCAGGACAGAATCCGGCACCCTGACCGGGACTAGAACCCGGTGTGCTGGCGCCACAAGGCGGAGAATTAGCCTAGTGAGCAGCGGCGCCAGCCCTAGCCCCTATATTTTCATTATACATGGCTATATACATAGCTGAGGTGTGTTGTGATGTTTTCACATTTGTAAAACATTAAATTAAATTAAATGCTAAATTGTGAAATGACAATATAAGCTAAGGGGAAGTTCATTAATCAGCGTGTACATTTGTTACAAAGACAACCTTGAAGTGTGGAAACTAAAACAGCTCATCAGTTATATTTCACAGAAAAAAAGGCAAGAAAATTGTTAATATGTGAATACACATGTATATATATATAATATAATTTTGCCATACAAATTGGCATAGGTATATGCTTTCTGGGAATAAAATAAATCAAATATACCCAATGACAATTTAAATTTAATTGCATCTATTGCTTAAATCCTATTAGACTTTAAATAATCAATACTTGCTACTACAAGGTATATGATTTCTATAACTTTGTATAATGTAGAAAAATGTGGAGGAAAGTGTTTAGTTTAATAAGGAATTTTATATTTAATTCTTGGAAATTCATTGAGGCCGGCACCACGGCTCAATAGGGTAATCCTCCGCCTGCGGCGCCAGCACACCAGGTTCTAGTCCCAGGCCGGGTGCCGAATTTTGTCCCGGTTGCTCCTCTTCCAGTCCAGCTCTCTGCTGTGGCCTGGGAATGCAGTGGAGGATGGCCCAGGTCCTTGGGCCCTGCACCCGCATGGGAGACCAGAAGAAGCACCTGGCTCCTGGCTTCAGATCTGCGCAGTGCCAGCTGTAGGGGCCATTTGGGGAGTGAACCAACAGAAGGAAGACCTTTTCCTCTGTCTTTCTCTCACTGTCCACTCTGCCTTAAAAAAAAAAAAAATCATTGACTATTTTTTCAAAGAGCATATTTACAATATGAACTGAAATTGTTTGTTAATGACTACACATGTGGAAATTGAGAGTGGGAAGTAGCATGACTATCAAAG